TATATATATATATATATATATATATGTTTCCGGACCAGAGCTTCCACTGCGACCCTCAGTTCCCAGGGACTCCTGGCAATGTCCAAGGACGGCTTTGATTGCCTCAACCTGGGATGCTCCTGGCATGGAGGTGCGGAGGTCAGATATGTTGTTCAACCCCCACAGTGCCCACGACGGCTCCCCAGCAAAGCTCTCTGACTCCAAATGTCCATAGTTCCAGAAGCAGAAGCCCCACATCCCAAGGCAGCCAGGGGACCTTGCACGAGGCCAGCAGGGCTGCCGTCCGAGGAGGAGCACGGCAAAAGAAAGCTCAGAGGATGTTTCACTGATGCTCAGAAGCCAACTGTTCTGGACTCAAAGCATTCGTCATGCAATAGATATTGCCAGAGAATCCAGCCATTGCAGATAAACGCTTTTATCAGCTGCTGTCCGCCTCTGTTCCTGCTCTGGCATCTTCACACATTTGGTTCACGCATCGCTTACCTTCCCCATGTCTTCTTATCAGCAGCTGCCCCGTGGCCAAACGAGTTTGTTCACAGGAGATGAGGCCCTTGTGACCCACACACCCCTTTCAGGAAGACGCTTCTAGGCTCCTGTGTGGGGCCTTTTCCCAGAGGCACACTTTGCCTTTCAGCTGGAACTCTTAACCTCGGGGACAACACGTGTTCACAGGAACAACACGTGAAACAGGGCCAGGCAGCAACTAGAAAAACGATCTAAATATGATGACTCCATCAACCAACCAGCGAGCCTACGGCTTCAGCTGAGAATTGTCTAAAATACAAATGTGTCTAACTTCAGTCCCCGGCTAATATTTAGTGTGCCAATGCATTTTTATTTTCCAATTCTTACTTGTTCTATCAAGAAAAACATACGATTTAAGACTACAATCACCCATGGGTTAAAAAATCCAAACATAAATAATTTTAAATAAAGTGTGACTCAGGAGATTTCTGTTGTAAAATAAAGATGAGTAATATTAGTATAATTCCTGCAATCTCTTTCTGATATACATGTGAGTTCACATGTGAGTCTCAAGTATTTTGACTTGAAATAGTTTTATTTTCTATATACTGAAGTTCATAAATTATAAAAGGGTTCTATTTTTCATAAATACAAAAAAGTGTATAAAATGAAGTGTATAAGATCTAATTGGCAAGTTTTTGGTTCTGTTCAGAAGAAAACTTGCTAATGAGATCCATTTTTAGCCATGTTTTGACTAAGAAATTGATAATTATTTTTCAATTATGATTTATGGGACACAATCTCCAAGTCTATAATACATACAGAAATTTGGTAACGAATAATTCTTTTCCACAAAGCAAGGTATATACAGTAGTGCTGCAAATAATTGCTCCAAAAGTTTCAAAATGAAATTTTTAGATAATTGCAGATTCACATGCAGTTGTAAGAAACAATACAGGGGCACCCTTTTACCCTTTACCCAATTTTCCCCATGGCAGCCTCCTCAAAACCGACAAATGCCCTCACCAGAGGGACCGCGACATGGACACATCCAGACACAGAGCTGTCCCCACACCAGGGTCCCTCCTGCAGTTTCACAGCCACACCCCCTGCCTTCCAACTACCTCCTCCTGAACCCCTGGAAACTGTTAATCTGTTCTTCATCTTCATAATTTTGTCATTTCAACAATGCTATGAAAGTTGAACCACACCTTACATAACCTTTTAGGATTGGCTTTTTTCACTCAGAATAATTCCCCAGAGAGTCATCTGGGTTGCTGCATACATCAGGAGTTCATTCCTTTTTATTGCAGAGTAGTATTCCATGGTATGGATGCACCCAAGTTTAACCATTCACAAGTGGAAGAACATCTGGGTTATGTCCAAGATTTGGCTATTATGAACAAGGCTGCTATAAGCATTTCCACACAGATTATTTTTCCTCTCTGGGATAAACGCTCATCAGAGCAAAAGGTTTTACTTTTGATAAAATTCAGTTTATCCTTTTCCCCCTTATGGACTGGCTGGTTGCATATTTAGTTTTTAAAGAAACTGCCAAATTGCTTTCTAGAGTGGTTGTACTGCTTTACATTCCCACCAATAATGTATGAGAGAAATAGTTTCTCAGCATCTTTGCCAGCATTTGATGTCACCATTTTTTACAGACATTCTGATAGGCGTGTGGTGATATCTCATTGTCTCAATTTACCCCCACTTTATTGATGTATAATCGACAAATAAAAAGTGTATATATTAAAGGTATACACTGTTGTGTTTTGATATGTGAATACATTGTGAAATGATTACCACAGTTGAGCTAATGAATATCTCCATCACTTCACACAGTTACCTTTTTTGTGTGTGATGAGAACACTTAAGATCTACTCTCTTAGAAAATCTCAAGTATGCAATATAATATTACTAGTTACAGTCAACCATGCTGTATATTAGATCTCTGGAAGTTATTCATCCTGTATATCTAAAACTTTGACTGCTTTGATCAACACCACTTCTTCCACCCCCAGTCCTCTGGCAACCACCATTCTACTCTCTGCCTCTGAGTTCAACTTTTAGATTCCACATATGAGTGAGATCACACATTACTGTTTTTCTATGCCTGGCTTATTTCACTTAGCATAATGTCCTCCAGGTTCATTTACCTTGTCACAATGACAAGATTTCTGTCTTTCTCAAGGCTGAATGATGTTCTGTTGTGTGTGTGTCTCTCTGTGCATGTGTGTATAAGTCAATAACATGTTCTTTAGCCACTCATCTATAAATAGGTGCTTAGGTGGATTTCATATCTTGGCTATTATGAGTAATGCTGCAATGATCATGAGAGTACAGATATATTTTGTCTGGTATAAGTATAAAAACCCCTGCTCTCTTTTGGTTACAATTTGCATGGAATATCTTTTTTTGTCTCTCCACTTTCAGCCTATGTATATCCTTACAGCTAAAGCAAGTCTCTCATAGGTAGCCTATAGTTGGATTTTGTTTTTAAAATCCATTAAGTAATTCTATGTCTTTTGATTGGAGAATTTCATCCATTTATATTTAAAGTAGTTATTGATAGATAAGAAATTACTAATGCCATTTTGTTAATTGTTCTCAACTGTTTTGTAGTTCTTTTGATTATTTCTTCCTCTTTTGCTGTCTTGCTATATGATTATTTTTTCGTGGTGATATGCTTTGATTCCTTTCTCTTTTACTTTTGTGTATCTATTACAATTTTTTTTTTTTTTT